CCCCTTTAAAGAATTTATAAGGTGAAAGTCGAGATCGATGCTGAGATCTGTCGACTACTTGTCTCAACTACTAATACATAGAGTCACACATCACCTTGTAAATATCATGTATATGACTCGTACTATTTTTCGAAATATTTCTTGTTTTCCTTGTGTCGCACGTTGAGAGGAGAGGCACATCAAGATCGTTAATGGCATCGTTTTTCTCTCTCTTTCTTTCTCATCTTGGGCCGTGAATAATCCGCATTATGATGGCGGTTTCCGCGCCGCAGTCACCATTAGTCTCGTGCGGTCCCGACAACAAGTGATTATTAACGCCAGGAAGGAGAAAGGATCGAAAACGTTCCGCGCTTGTTCTTTCGCATCTGATCTTTATCCATTTGGGACTGATGGCGATATATTGTGCGTCTCCATTATATGTGCTCATTCTAACGATTACATCTATAGAAGAAATTTTTTAGAGAAAAAATATAATTTGCCCGACTATATTAGATTTCTAGCATAAAATATTTCAAATTCTAAATTAACATTTTATTGAAGTCTATTTTAATTAATAAAGTAATAAATAATATTTTGTTATTCATTATAATAAAAGTTGATACAATAATAAGGAAAGATTATTGAATAAGTTGAAACAAAAAAAGAGATTATTAAATAAATTTAAATTTAATTCTAAAGATATATCAGACATGCAATTAAATTTTATGCAACATATTTCAAGCTCTACATAACAGACGGAGAATTTGCAAATGAGTTTTCTTGAAGGCTAGAAAAGACCCGCTTAGAAAAACATAAGCAAGATCCACCCCTTGATCAATCTCGTTTACTTCTTTGAATCGCAACTCTCCTTCTTTCTTATTAAAAACAGTTTTTATAGTATATATTATATGGACGAGAGGGTTCTTGTCGACTATATGCTTGCAAGCATGTCAAGGTTTCAACCGTCATTCCGTTTTGTTCATTTTCCGTAGCATACAGGAACGAGGTCGATCCTGCCTTGCGTCTTGCGGGAATAGAAGCGGGGAAAGGGACTCACGGGACGGGTATAAGGGGCCCCGATGTTGTTATTCCGGGCTGTTCGTTGTAGGGACAATTCTTGCATTCGCAACGCGACCTCAAACGACGTAATCCACCTCGTGCGAACACCTTATAGGCCATAAAAGAGTTGTATACGGGGAATCGAAATGCTGCGGCATAATTCAGCAGCACCGCGATGCTTTGTGCACTTGTTTCTATTACTCGACATTGAGATTTATTTATTTATTCCGATCGGTAAAAGATGAAACAGAGATATCCCTGAAGAAATTTCGAATAGATTTTTAATAATAAAAATATTGAGACACATTAATAATTTTTGATTTTGTAAACCATCCCTTAAAAATTATTTTGTTTATATTTGAAAAAATATCTTTTCTTCTACTTATTTGTGTTGACTATTTATAAACAAACAAAGAGATATTATAAGTAATCAAAAGTTTTTAAACGGCGTAAATTTTCGAAGCTACTCTGTTGCACCTTGCACTTGTCTATTTTTCATTACCCATGCGAAAATACAAAAGTTACTACTTTTGTATTTCGCCGTTTCACAGCGGCGGTTTATTCGCGAGGCAGATCAGATTAGAACGATAATATTCACAGGTGAACCATACAATAATCTCCCCTTTTATATTTATATCGTATATGGAGGAGACTCTTAAGATTTACTGTACACTCGTAATTACGGCGACGGACCCCTGGGCCCCGTTTAATAAAGAGCGCCACGGGTATTCTGACTGAACCTATCGTGGTCGCGACGTGGATCTCAAAGGGAAAGATTTTGTATTCGAATGCAGGTGGCGTGTTTAATCGAATTAATAGATCCCTATCTGCTGTGATTATTCTTCGAGGAGTGGCTTATCGCGATGACGGAACCATAATTTGATTGCAAAGATATATAGCTTCATAATATTAGTACCGTCGTTTTTTTAATATCTTTCGAAAATTTAATTTTTAATTATATAATATAATTTAAAATATTTCCTTTTTAAAACATAAGCTTTTATATTTTGGAAAAATTTGAATTTATACGGAATGTTTCAGAAAAAATTACATATATCAATAAATAAACAAAATTTTTATAAAAAATTTATATAAAATATAATTTTTCTTATACTCTTAACCATAGTTATTTATAATGTTAAACTCAAAAGAAGTATCGTTTCCAACGAAAAGATATTTTCGTGAAAATAATAATTGTTACAGTCTTTTCTTAGTCGAGTCTGTAATTCACAATATCACCATCTTTCGTATCCCTTTCGTAAAATGTAAAAACATATACATGAAACCTTCCATTCAAACGTATGAACAGTAGAATGTTAGGTATATAATTTAGTGTGTATTATAATGTTGCACTATATAGTTGCAAACCGGAAACACAGAGGGAAACAATGTTTTATCGCAGGTGCAGTCTGGTTGTCGTACCCTGCTTATTGCAAATGACGAACTAGTGTCTAATTATGCAGACAAATGCCTTTCATCGCCGCTACTTGTACTTATGCATTTGAGAAAGATTCGTCGTGACGAACATTCCAAAGGTTTTAAGTATCCCGCATATCATTTCGTCTAACACGATTCATTACTTACGAACGTTGAGGGAAATCACATGTTGCTTAAAACATCCGGGAGTTCATTGAGGAAACGACTTTGTAATGACTGTTATAATTATTTTTTTGCTTCTAAAAAAAAAATCAGAATTTTTATAATTAAAATTTTTGATTTATGAAAGAGAGAGATCTTTAATTTCGCATTAAAATTTAAAAATATATTTACTTTTTTGATAGATGAATTTTATAAATATAATGCATAGACGCGTAATGTGTGTGTGTGTGCGTGCGTGCATAGAATTAATTGCCAAATTTCAAATCGGCATTTTATATTCCCGTATTTTTCTGTATGAAAGGCAATAATACCGTGCACTTTATAAAGTTCAAGAGTTTCTCCTGACGAAGTACGTTGAGAAAGAGTATCCTCCGCATAGACGTCAGATATTCATCGTTTTTATTACTTATCGACATCGGGTTTCACCTAGCGCTGGGTCGAGAGATACCAGATGGGACCCACTGCGCGTTCCATCACCATATGGGCAGGTGCCCAGACCGTTTTACGAGCGCGTAGGCCGGTGGTAGTGGTAGTGGTGATAGTAATGGTAGTCTGTCGCGACAGCATACGCAAACGCGCGCGCGCGCGCGAAAGAGTGCAGGGCACGAGACCATGCGCAGCATGGCAACAGCCTGTATGTAAATGAATGCATTTTTATACCTAGCTAGTACAATGCGTCGCACCCCCCCTCGGCGAACCGTTAAAAGTGAAAACCTGCTGCTGCTGGTGCTCCTGCCATCGTTTTTATCCGGTGCTGCCGGGGACGCAATTTTGCCTGCACGACTTTTCAGGGGGATTTCCTTCAAGGTCAAGATCGAAATCAGGATCTTTCGAATGCATATATAGCATATCCTTTCGTGTGCTCTTAATTTTTAATGTGAAGATCCTGTCTAAAATCTAATCTTGAAAACTGAAGGCAAAATGATAGATAAGCGAAAAGAGATGGGGGCACTTTAATTTTGTTAGTATTAGTTACCGATAATTTATTCTAAATTAATAAAAAATTTTAAAATTGGAGATGATAAATTAAAAAAAAGGATTTCTTGTTAGTATAAAATATGCTTAGAATTGAACAGAGATTAAGTTTTCGTTATTATTTCTTATCTGTAAAGCAAAATTCACAATAAAGTTCCTTTTTGAAACGGATTAGTTAACATATGAAAATTTGAATATATTTATAAAATCGACTTCAAACTGAGTTCGAAATCTCAATGCTCACGAAAATATTGACTATCATCGATATGGCGCAGACAAGTTGGGTGAATATCGTGCTCAAAAGAAAGACCTCGACTCAATTCGGCAACCATGGTAGACTTTCGTTCATGCGATCTAATCGAGTCAGCGATTTCGCGAGTCACAGCGGCTGCATGCGCAGCAGCAACAACCGCGGAACCGAAACGAAACAACAATTCGGTTCGTTCGCTCGACCATGTCCTCTTTTTTCTCACCCCTTGCGCTCGCTCGAATCTTATCGTTCACGAAAATTACGCTGCGAAAAATAAAAGAGGAAGAGGCATCCGCGTTGGTTTTAAGGGCCGTTTAAAGGATCGTTAAGCACGCCTAGACAAGTGCTAATTCGTGAAACCGTCTCTCAGGTGTATAGCGGCTTTCACCTGTTTCGCTATTTCCCGTATGTCGCGACAGGTGCACCTCTCTATCTTTTTCTCTTTCTCTTTTCCCTTCTCCTTTACTCGATTTCGTCGCGAGGTTTCCTGTCGTTTCGTGTATCGTATCGTGTACATCATTCCCTACATAATTACGCGCAAGCGATCATGTCGTCTTTGACCGGAAGACGATAGGCGGACATGACAAGATGTCGACCTTATCAAGACTTGTCAGCGAGACCCAACGACTTTCCCATTCATGCATTCTATGTGCTGTACGCGTGCGTCGTAGATTAATGACAGTCGGTGCGGCTCCCGCACTTCCTCCGTACGAAGAAAATATCTGGATTGAACTCTTGAGACTCTTTAATGAAATGTTATAATAGACTGGAGAAAGCGCTAAAGTAAAAATAATCGCTTCGCGGTTTTATGGTTTCCGGAGAAGTTAACAACTAGAAAAGTGAAAATATGGGAATTCACGCTTAAAACAGGTGGCTAGGATAATTAATTACATTTGACGGTGTGAAAATTGTACAGATGAAACATTTTTTTCAAGAAATTTGAAGAAATTCAACAAATTTAAAATTATATCCGTGTAATTTTGTAAAATAAGATCTGAATAACAATCATTATGTTATATTGAAGAATTTTTACGAAAATTTATAACAAAATTTAGCGAGGGTTGTAGCGCAACAAATAGTTGAATAATTTTCGAATAATTTAAAAAATTTTTATTTTCTCTGTTGGCTTGGTACCTAGAAATGCTGAAGTGGACGGTCTCGAGATCGTTGTCGACAACCAGTTCGACGCCTCACGGTCCGCCCACCTTGAACAAGGCACCCCGTCGGCCCTTTCGAGATTTGTCCAACACACCGCCAACCTCCGCTAGTTGCCGAACCAGGCAAGTATCTACTCAGAATGTGTCGAACACGACCAGGACGACGCCGGCTCGACGCAGAAGATGCAGAAGTCACGGAACCGACTTGAGGACATATTTTCAGGTAACAGCAAGTTCAAATTCTTTTCTCTTATAACACAATGTATTAAATCATTAAATACTAATATAATTTTTTAAAAAGAGTGCGATAGTTTTGTCACACTTTAATATTTTGAGGATTATAAAATATAAATTCTTATGGTCCCTCTCACGCATTAAAAGCGTCGATTTTTTTTTTATCAAGAAACGTATTACACGATGTATTTTGTAGGCGTCGAAGCCGCATTTGAGATCGAGTAAACGTCAATCCGTGTCGCAGGGAGCGGAGAATTCAGCGACGTCCGAAAGCTTTTATCAAAGCACGCCGAGAGTGGACACAGATATCGGACCGCTCACGTATTTTCCACCCGGTAGCAAGTGTTCCACCGCGCTTACTCTACCGACGGACCCCACGCTCTTCATGAACAGTCGCGCCAAAAACTTCCAGAGTGACAGCGAGCTGCCGCAGAACGTCGTCAACGAGGCGCGAGCGAATCTGCAGTCGCACGTCTCCGATTTTTTTCAGCAGATCTCGATGGCCACCAGCCCCGAGGACGTAATGGAGACGGATTCGATGCCCCTGGGGACGAAAACCAAGATTTATTCTCAGAACGGTGAGCAAAAGACGCGATCGGTGAAAACACCGTATCTGCCGAAACTAGCGAAGATTACGAAGATACATGCGCGATGTCGGACGCCCTATCACACGAAACTCGCTCAGGCAATCAGTCCCTTCAAGCTGAAAGCGAGTCAAGGACAAACGCCGCTTGTCGGCAAGTTGTCGAGTCTCACCATAGATCAAGACTTGCCGAAGTACGAGAACATGGATAACACCGTGACGGAGGTGCTTCACAGGTGAGCACGATGATAATTAAAGAGATGATAAAATAATGATAATGTAATTAAGAATTGATAATAACTAATGAAAAACGAGCAAAATGTGATTTTTGTTAATTAACACTCCTATTTTTTCTAACTAATTAAATAAAGATATGTTAATTTTGTATGAGAGGAAGCGAGGAGCAATGTTATACGTTTAAGAAACTGTAATATGTATATATATTTGCGAAAGAAAAACACGCAGACATTTCAAAAATTCATTTGTATTAATAAAATTATGTAACGAAATCTTTCCGAATTAAAGACCATGTATAATTACGTGTGCAGAGAACAGGAGATCAATTTTGGAAGCAAAACCGTGGCGGAGATTCTTCTAGGCAACGCCGAGGAAAGGAGCAAAATCCTGGAAGCGGGCGACAAGCAATCCGATTCAAATATGATGGATCACATATACGAGACTATCCCGGAACAGGACGAAGTGGCGGAGGAAGAATCACTGGCGCGCAACGACAGTTCCATATCGTCAGTCAGTCAACTCCTGGAGGATCCATCGCCGGTGTCCTGGGCTTTCGCGTCGCCGTTGAACGATCTCGGTGAATTCACGCTGAAGAGACAACGCGGCATTCGGCGAAAACGTCCGCGAAAGGACGGCGACAAGGCGGTGGACGGTAAACGGGTCAAGAGAATGTACAGTCCTTCGGTAAACGAGGATCAGAATACGCTGATCGAGGCAATTAATCCGAATGTGAAGAAACTCGTGTTAGAGACGGATCTGGATTCGACATTGAACGAGAAGCATCTACCAGTCACGAAGGCGTTCTTCTGCGATGCTAAGGATCGTAAGGAGGAGGACGTTAACAAGAAAGCCGATTTCTGGGATCTCGACAGTCCCAAATCGTCCATGATGGACGATCTGCACAGCACGAAATCGTTCGCCACTTCTGTATCTACAACACAGGAAGTTCCCTTGATCGCCACTGTCAGAAGATGCTTAAAGTTTAGTCCCGAGAGCGAACCGTCGACGAGATTTAACTCTTGCGGCTCGATCGAAATCGAGTGCTCCCTTGTGGCGGAGCACATACACGTTCGAGGTAAGTTTATGCGTTTGATATAAATTTATATGTTTGATATAAATAATTATGTGCTATAATACAAAACTGAAGATGTCTCGAGCAGAGTGTAAAATATGCATTAAGCTTTCGAGGGAAGAAAATAAAATTTATATAAAGAATACTGCTTCTTGAAAAATATATCCTAAATTTATCTATAAATATATTGATCGTAAAAATTAAATGTTGATTAATATTAAATAAATATAGATATTTAATATTAATTAAGCTAATATTAAATACCTTTAATAAACAATAAATGTAAAAAATAGAACTAATAATTTCGAGCAATGCTTGTCTGAAGGCGAATAAAAATTAGTAGACGCTGGATAAAAAAATAATCCTCCATATGAAAAATTATGTGTCTTTTTAATAAAAAATTTTGGTTTTAAAAGAGAGGGAAAGATATTAATATTAAAGATTATTATATATCTTTCTCGAGAAATAACATTTCAACTCAATTATTATCAATATTATTATACACTTTCATTATAAGTGAAAAATACTTTAATAATTGACATTAATGTATTAATTTTAATCGGTCGTTTTTCGTATTAATATTACGTGTAATTAAAAAAAAATATTTTTTAATTAAATTTTTAATATTCTTAATTATTTTTCACACAAAGTGAAATATAATATTAATATTGATTTTGATTACTCTAATCTAATTAATATTTTGCACGCACACATTTTTTAAGAAAGAAACATTCATTATTTTCTACTTTCTGTGGGTAACTCGCCATCCCTCGTACATTCCTGAAATCTCGCGGCCACGAGACATGCGCTAGTTGCGTGTCGTGAGAGGGGGTGTTTCGAGGGGGTGCTCGGCATCATTGTGCCAGTAACCCACAGATCCTCCCGGCGGCTCGATTCCGGTTAGTAAGCTCACCGACATTGATCATTGTTGCATTATCCTTACGTAAACAGTCGCGTGATTCTTGACGACATCCTGCCGACTCGTTCTTCTCGTATTTAACGCACGATACGCCGCATCCGGTCGACGCGCCATTCTCACGATCGTTCCGCGGAATCGTCAATCGAGGTCCTCGCGGAAACCAGTTTCCGTGGCATCACATTTCCCTATGCTTTCTCGTCATCCGAAAATCCCCGAAATTCCATTCTCGTGTACGAGGATAGCGAGTCGGTGAGTCGGGGTTGAACTTGAACGCGGCGTCGATCTGGAAACGCATTTCTTGTGCTAGTTACACTGCGCTACTTATTGTTAGTGTGTAAACATTTCCTTTCTACGGATGTATCTACTACACCGACTATGACTTATTTTCAGCACAGGAAATATAATTATTTTCGACAAATGGGGATTTTTCGAATTCATCCTACTCATCAAGACGTTTAAGATTATTTAAAATGTGAAACCCCACGGTGTGTGTAATATCGTAATTGCCGGAAAGTGGATCGCGCGATACGAGCCAGTGGCGAATGCCGCATCGGTCAGACGTCCTCGGGCGCAAGTAGTGCGTTCCGCGGTACAGTCAGCCGAAAGAGCGAGCGCGAAGCGTCGATTCTCCGGGATTTCTCTTGCCTTCACAGTGCCGTCGCATAGTGACAAGTTTACCCCAATGTAAAGAGACGAGAATATTCCATCCGATTGTGTACGAATATTTTGCATACTGTTTCGTTTCTAGATTGCAAATTAATCTAATGTTCGGACATAACAATGTTTTAGAAAAGTGTATGCGTATTTAAATAGAACAATTTTAAATATTTTAAATAAGAATATTAAATTATATGTTCTACACAATGAAATTAAAACATGTCTTAAAATAATAGATAGATAGAAGTTAAAGTTTAATAGATAAAAATTATTTTTTTTATTCTGTTTGTGTGTGCGTGCGCTAAAAAAAACTAACATAAAAGAAGACAAATTTTAGAACTTAAAATTGTCTTTCTAGACTTCTCGTATAAATATAAAAATGTAGATCACATGTAGCACACACATTAAAAATTTTTATAGTCTTTTAAAGAACTCGAAACTGTGACAAAATTAAACATCTACTGTGTTTATATTTAAGTATACAAGTGGATGAAATATTTTTATTCTACATTGATCTTTATTTAAAAATATATAAATAATGCAAGAATATCTAAATTCTGTTATTATGAGATCCGTTGTATGTGTGTGTTTATGTTCTCTTAAATTGAGCAAATCATGCATTGCGAAGATTATTTCTTTCGTTAATAGTTTTTAAATACATTAAATACATTTAAGAACAACAATGATATAAATGCTGCAAATAACTGTGAAGCAACATAGTCATAATTAAAATGGTTATACATGTAAAATAATAGTAGCAAGATTTACGAAGATAAAAAAATTTATAACACACACACACACAAAATAACTCCATGTGGACTTTATCGCTGCATATGTTTAGATTATTACACACACTAATCTTCATATATTTTCTTACTATTTTTCCTTATTTAGAAAGAAAGCATAGCTTTAGTTGTTTTCACGTAGCTATAGAAAACTTGGCTTTGTTATGTCATAATGATTTAAGACCTTGATGTCGACGGTAAAAATGTCAATCAAAGTTAAGAAAGTTTGATTGCTTTCGATATTCCTACTTCGTTTCATCTTTTAGCTTTATATTATGCCCTCGTCTTTACAGTTTCGCTTTACAGTCGATAAAACCTCGATAGGTAGACGGAGTGCGAAAGTGATGTGAAAATGTAATAGGGCAAAGGTCGTAATATCCCGCTGATCGTTTCATCACATTATTGGACAATCCCTCCTCTCCTACCGTAAGACATAAATCTAAGGAACCTCAAAGGTTGCCAAAACCGGTACAATTGTAGAATCTCCACTCCTTCACCATTTCACCTTTCGTTAGTTATTAAAAAAGACCCAAACTATTATATGTTTTATTATATTCACGATTTAATTAGTTTTATTATTGCATTTATTATATATTTTACAATCTGTATGGATAAGTTATTTTGAAGAGAACGTTATTCCAAAATTCTTATTTTTCGCTTTATTATAATCTGTAATCATTATCATCCCATTTTTTTTCCTGTATCACTAAGCTATACATAAAGAAACATAACGCAAAGAGAAAAGCCAAATTTTTCAATATTTTTGAAATACAATTTAGACGCTATAAATAAAATATTTTATATTTTTAAATTTTGTGATTTTTTTTCAGTGGTAAGGTGCAAGGATCTGAGGCGGGCATATGAGGGGCCGGTGCACGCGTATGTCAAGGCAAGTTTGAAGAATACGAGCGGTGAAGGGGTCGTCAAGAGGACCGCAGTTCATCGTGCCACGCCGAATCCGGTATTTCGCGAGACTCTGATACTACCCTGTCCGGCGTACAACAGTCACTGCACCGGTCACAGGCCCACGTCCCTGGACATCGCCGTCTGGCACCGGGACCGTCGTGCAAGGTGAGCATGCTCCGCGAAGACGAGAAAGACAGAAAGAGAAAGAGAGTTAGAGATACACGATACTGACGCAGATCAAGTTTGTAAATCTGACGAGACCGTCGGGAATGCGATAAAGTTTCCAATGAATCTGACGTCTACAAATTTATTTATTAATATCGGCGTGCCTCGAATTTTTATTACGTAAAGTTTAATTGTGATTTGTATAATCGAGAGAAATTCCGTAAATAAGGAAGAAATTTATGACAGGGTAATTAAAAAGCTATGAAACGAATTAAAGATTCTAATTAGAATGATAATGATCTAATCCTCTTTGCGAAAAAGATTTTTCAAAGATGAACTTTAGATTCCTTCTAGAGTAGTGGATTAAACTGCTGCAGAGATCACTAATCCTTCAGTTACTTTTTCTATAAGAAATATTTCCAGTTTCATAAGATTCTACGTATCAATCTTTTTAACTGTATAATTAAATAATTATAATATTTACTAACTAAATAATCTTAATTTACTTACTTTAAACATTGTGATATTTTTACAATATGATTTTTTTTTAAAGAGAATGAAAATATTTAGAACAATGAAATAAATTCAACATAAATTCTAGAATAAATTTGCGGTTGGAGAATAGGTTGTCGCGATAAGGCTTTGACTATAATTAGTCTCGCTTGTTCGGCTAATCATAATAATCAGGCCGTGATAGGGATGTGGGAATTAACCTCGGCTGTGGCGACTCAACCGTGTTTAATTTGTTCCGATAAAAGCTCGTAAATGATATGACGTTAACTCGCGAGACTTAACAAGCACGTGATGTCTCGAACCGTGCGCGAGATAGCTATCTCTCGAAGTAAAAACCGAGACGACGCGGCGTGGGAAAGCCTTGTAAAATTTATAAAGCGAATCGCACGAGAATCAAATTCCACGCAATTGGTGTCAGTACATTGGCGAATTTATCTGCGTGTCATGAATTTCTTTTTTTAGTTTTCCCGTATACCGATTACAATGCGTATCTATCTGAATCTACGTTTACTTTTATCCACCGAGCCACGACTGTTAAATTTATTTTTACGCATGCACGTCGATACGTTACGCTTCACGATTCGCCTCGTTCGATATTCGATCGACGATCGATTCCCTTCGCCTCCACCGCAGCCTTGGCTTGTTTATTCTTTGAATTCGTCCAATCGAAGTAGTCAACCTAATTTTAAGCTGTTCTGAGGAGTTCTCGTACCGGAAAACCGTCATCTTGAAGAAACTTCGTTTTCGCGAAGACAAGTATTCTCCGAATACAGAGTTATGCTATTTGAATTATATAATTAAGTATATATATTTATTTAATAACAATCGTTTTATAATCGCATTTTTTGTGATTGGAATATTTTCTCATAAATATGGAGACTTTCTCGCCAAGAAAATGTTATGTAAATTATGAATTTTTATTTCAATGATTTCGCATTTTATTAAAAGTTGATTTATATATATAATATCAAATATCGAACACACACGAAATTTAATATTTATTTGAATATATTGCATGAGATATAAATTAATGTTATCACAAGATTTCATGATCAGTTCTTGATTTTTTGTATTTTTAAGAACGCTCGATTTAAAAGAGAGAGGAAGTCTGACAATAAATAAAAATTGACAATACAGAAATGTACGCAATTCTAAGTCGCGTGCTTTCTCGGTCAATGCGGTCCATCCGAATATTTAAACTAAATTCTGGGCATTCGAGTTCTCCTTTGGCGGTAGGAGGGGTATCGATTCCCCCAGATCATGCGCACCACGTATACCACGTGCATCTCTCTAACACCTCTCTTCCCCTCTGCCTATTCACGTACGATGTGCGCGAGACAACATTACGGTCACGCTGTATATACATATATTACGTTATCTCGTGCGAATAAGACATTACTCGTATACATATATAATACATCTACGAGCCTCTACATGTACGTATCTGCACGTTTCGCAGCTCCGACAAGCAGAAATTTATATGTGTCTCTCATTTTACGGTTGTTTCAGACGTAGCGAACTGCTGGGCTGCATGACTCTTCCTCTGCCGCTGTCCCAGGATAAGGTAAATATCACTTTCGGATATTTATTCGAGACATTTGATCGAGAAACGTTCGCCCTCGATTCGCTTAGAAAGTATATCGTGCTACGGAATGTATCTAGATATATCTTTACTAAAGTTCGCTGCTATATCAGCGAACTCCTATATTGAGTCTCTCGAAAGTTTTTTTTGCTATAAATTATTGAAAAGTTTATTTTTTCCCTCGAGGGCAATAAATATCGAAAAATAAAACATTAAGTATTTACTCGAAAGAGTCGATAAAGATGGTTTGTTTTGCGCGATTTATTTCAAATATATCTTGCGTTATATATTGGACGTGTCTAGACTTTCTGTATATAATGCAAGCTATACCTAATACATGTACTAAAGTTTGCTGCTATATTAGTCTTTAAATATTGAGGCGGTGTCTACAAAGTTTTTTCTTGCGACAAATCATTAAAGAGCTCCTTTTATCTCGATTTGAAACTTCGAATGCTTTATTCGAGATACTCGATCAAAATATTTTCAAACGTTAATTGCTATATTAGATCTCGAGTAGATATTATAAAATACGCGCTTTTGTGCGCATTATATTATATTCTCTGCATTATAATATATTAATATATTTTGTAATATGTATTAAATATAGGCTAATAAAAAAATAGTAGATAATTTGTGGTAATCAAATATATTAAGAAAAAATAATACTTTCATCGCAAAGTAATCTTTGTAATGTAGTTTAGGCATTAAAAAATAATGGCTGCTACATAATATCGATGATTAGGAGCTTTCTCTTAAGTTACAGTTAAGTGGATTTTCTATCTCAAGCCCGAGCATTATCCGATTACTTGACTTTCGATCCGAGTGACACCCTAAATAATGTTCGCTAAAGTAGACAATCTCAATCATGTAACATATTGTATAATAAACGTAGATTTTTATATCTTGACATGATAATGACAATCATTACTAAACTGATATATATTTCTGCTATTTTGTAATTATATTTTAAAAAGCACCCATCTCAATAATTTTAAATAAAATTTTCGCGGTGTCTCAAAATTATATAATTTGTCAATTTTAAATTTATAATGAATCTGGTCAATTAATTTTTTTTTAAACCAAAATTTAACGAAACCGCCCTTTTCGCCCGTTTTCATAACAACTTTTTTACTTTTTCACGTCAAATATTCTAATAATCAATTTCTTTTTATTTGATTGAATAAGATTATTAAATTTATTTTTCAAACGATATATATTTTTCGATCGTGGGAGGACTAAAAGAGCGGGAATGACTTGCAGGAAGCAACATGGCACCCTCTAGAATCCGGATCCGTCCGAAACACGAGCACCCCTTTTGCGGGTGTACCTCAGGACTGCGTCGTGTCGCCGCCATTGTCCAAGGATGGCGAGCTAGATAATAACAACTCAGGGACGGATGATTTGATGTATCTGAGGCACCTGGAGTTGGAACCGGTCGATCCACTGACAGGCTTACCTCTGCACCCGGGTTTCACCGCGAAAGGCGGCAGAACACCTTGTACTATTACCAGAAGCTTGATAAGACAAACTTCAGTCAATCAGGTGCGTTTAATGGTTTTAAATAGAAGTATAAATAGGAAGAACACTTTGTACTATTACCAGAAGCTTGATAAGGTAAATTTCAGTCAATCAGGTGCGTTTAATGGCTTTAAATAGGAAAAACTATCAAACTTTACTTTCGATTTTCGTGTACATTATACTACATCATAAAGTGATGTGTATATGTGTAATTAACTGTAATAGAATAATTTATAACTTGTCGTAGTGAGTTATGTATGAGTGCTATAAAATAGCTCAAATAAAAAAGAAGAAAAAGAGTAATTCTTAATAAAAAAAGTAAGTCAAAAACATAGAATAAAACTTTTTCATATGAATTTTTTCGTTCTCAAGAAAAATAACTTCAAAAATTAAAAAATTAATATATATAAAAGGTAAATATATTATTACTTTTTCAATTCCTAAAATTAATTTTTTCAGAAACAAAGCCTCGTATAAAAAAATAAAATCTTATTTTACATTCTTTATTTATTTTTGCATGATAACTCCTTGTCGATTCTACCTTGTCGATTACTCGTTAATTAACTTTGCTAACTAAATATTTCATCATACATCTATCTGACAGATCCCATGGGGTTTTTCGTTATCGTGGGGCAGGCCACCTCGGGTGGAGCGCGTGGATCCGGGAAGTCCGGCGGAACGTGCCGGCTTACGACCGGGCGATCATGTGGTCTTTGTAGAAACGACGAACGTCGTGACGAGACCGCGGGACGAGATCTTGGGTCTTATCCAGGCCGCCACGAATCAACTGGTGCTGGAGGTGCATCGCAAAGGGGGCGCCCAATCGTCTGCCATCCACAGACCCAGCTCGGTCAACACCACCCTTCAAAACCCTTCTGTTACCGGTCCCACCAGCCAACACACGGTCACATTCAATGCCGAGGTCGGTACCGGCGTCCTCGTGTGAACGTAACGATACTCTATTAACGGTATATTCGTCGGTATTTTAATTATAAATGAATGAAAAACGTATGGAATAACAATGGTGACAAATTGACATGATGTTATATCTTTCATTTATTTATTAAAAATTAGATGTAAAATAATTCTCTCTTTTGTATCTTGATATTTTAATATCTTAAATATTTTTTATATATTTATATTTTTATTTATTTGTTTGGAAAATTATTTTACTCTGGATGTATAGAAAATGATGGAGAACACAAAGTAACGATTTGTTCTCAATAAAGTATACGAATGTTTAGTTCCAAAGTTCTAGTTCTTAAAATAATCTTTAATTTTAATCGCGTGTAACTTAAATGTTTCTCTTGATATCTCCGAATTGGTTAAAATATCTATATAAGCAAAAGAAACATTCGTCCAAGATTACGTCATCTTACTACCTATCATAAGCGATATTTTCTAACGATTTAAGATACCGACAATATAGTTAATATAGTAAAGAGTACCGCTATCATTGTCGTTTAAACTTATTCATTGATATATAATTGTGCCGACCGTAAATTAATCGAAGATTAAAAGTATATTAAGGAAATTTCCATTTTATCGGAATAATCGATCGAGTCATGAAATGTGTCGAACGTTTAATTACAATATGAAAAGACAACATATTGTAAAAGGGATATGTATAATTTCCTCTTGATTATTTTCAACATCGTAGATAGAAAAAAAATATGTATTTTTTTTAATCATTATTAATATGCTGAATTGTGCATCGTTTATAAGTGTTAATGTTGCTTTACGAAGTTATAAAACTATAAATCTCGCACGTTAATTGGCGCAAACGTGTCTGATAATACATATTCTATCAGATGAAAATATCGTCCCAGTTTCTCATAAATCTTATTTCAAACAATCAGGGAGATGTGTGATAATAAACACAGCTTGCTACAGCTGATATAACACAGTAAAGTTTAATTGCGCAAACTTGCGCGAAAAATGCTTTTATGATTGCTATTTAATATTCTGGAGATCGCGGTATCTAACAAATGTATAGTCAATCGCTTTGTAAAATTTATAAAATCTTTTTACTAATTATCTTTTTATTTAATATTTGTAAATTGTAAAAATTGCAAATACTAAATTAGAACCACATAAATATTTTCGCATACATTTAGGATTTTATATATCGAGAAATTTTATATTTTTATATATATATATATATTATAGCGGGAACATGCGAATTTTTTTTGTTAAGCGCGTTATATATCAGCGTGCGTTATTCAGAGCTTATTTTCGCTTTGTACAAGGAGCGTCACACATCTGTGCATGTGTGTACATTGTTTTCTTTTTTTCTCCTCTTCATTTTCTTTGTATCTTACTTTTAGCGAGCGTGTAATGTATAGCGCGCGCATTCCTCGCGTGGAGGATGCCGTTTAAGTTATAATGCGGTTATGTTTTGTACCTCGACCAAGTTGCTCTTTTTTGTTGTCAACAAGTTTTGTTTCCAACCTCATGCGTTTTGTTTATTCATTATACCCTTTCCACCCTCATCCCGCGATTTTCAATTATCACACGTTTTTATAAGTTTGTTCATTGGCGCTTTGATTTATATCACACGTTGTTAAATATTATAAAAGTTAATTTTTTATTAATTTTAGAAATTGCAAAGTATTTCTTATCTCGTTATTACAACAGAAAAAAGATCTTAAAGCTTGCTAATAATATTATTCTATCTCCATATTAAATTACAGGCAAAATTTAAAAAATCAGGTTACTTAAAATTATTTTCATTTTTAAGTATTTCGATTTTCAATTAAAAGCCGTTCTATTACCACTCATCCTATATAACGCAAACTATCGATTGAAGAATTCAACAGTGCTTTACATTATTACACAACCACGCTATAAGCTGCACATTATATTCAATAGTTTCAAAAAAATCGGAGGGTTCACCTATTCGGAACTCCACCCCAATTATCTTATACACAAACATAAATTACGTTCTTTATGTGTTAAAAACGACGATACTTTTGAAGCGCAACGATTCTCAAAACATTTTCTACTTAAATAATATATATAGGCATTTATCTATTTTCCACGCGATTCTCTATAAAAATATCTCCCGCCCAAAATTCTTTCGTCGCAAATTCTTTCATGTAGCAGGTCTTCCCGACTCTGGCACCTGACGCGCCACCCGAAGAGGAATTAACTGTACGCGAGACCAGGTACTGGAGCATCCTGAAGAACGGCCACGCGCGCTTCATGGCCCCGCTGTGCGAGCAACGCGACGTTCTATCGGCGATGGACTACCTGATTCTATTCCAGAACCTGGACGAGCTGCTCAAGCTATCCGAGGAGATCAGGGACGAGGGGGGCGGTGTCGACAGCTATCTCTGTAGAGTTCCTAAAATCACAGCTGCCTACCGAAGATACCTCAGTGGCCTACAACGTGCCTGCTGCCTCCTGGTCGCTCTCAGACGGAACACGGCCTTCGCCAAGCTTGTCTGCGAGCCTGCCGTGCCGCACAAACGCCGCCCCGACCTTACTGGGGTATTACTCCTACCCTTAGAGCATTATAGGTTGGTACGATTATGCTAATTGCTTGTGTTTCTTTCAGAAAGATACCCAAGTTACTTTTCGATCAATCTGTTTCAATAAAATTCGTGTTTCAATGTGAAATAAAACCTGATTAAATTAGCTTTGATTGTGTAATTAGCTATAAAATTTTTGGGAAAATAATTATCAGTGTATTCAAAAATAGTAAGATATCAAGAGAATTATAATTTATTAAATTGCAATGCTTTTTTTCATCTTATTCTATTTAAAGCTACATCACACATTTCTTGTTATTAAAATTATTTTTTTCTTATTGCCAAAATTATAAAGATGTTTCAATTAAAGGTTAATCAAATATAGGTTTGTTAATATATCACCTTTTCGTATCTTTGTTAATCTTTAATTTTTAAACAGACTCTCGTAAAATAAATATGTACTTTGATTTATAAAAATAAACATATAAAGATTATACATATTATATGTATTATATATCAATTTATAAAAAATTATTTTCGTGCTATTGTGTGTAAAAATTGTTTTCTTATAAAAATCCTATGATATCACTTACAAAATTATTAATTAAATCTTACATTAAAGCTTGAATTAAGATTATGAGAATTGAACAACGAGAAGTTTTTAAAAGACTTTTTAATATAAAAGAAGTCTCTTTGGCGTTTGTAGCATCGGAATCTCTTTGGCACTTGTAGCATCGGAATCTCTTTGACGCTTGTAGCATCGGAAAAGCAAAAACCGTACCGTTTTCGTAGTAAATTCGTGCTTGCAGAGAAATGACGAGATTGTTGGGTCAGGCGTCTCCGCGAAATTGCCAACAAGCGAGAGATTTGGCCCACGGCTATAGAGAAGCTACAGCTAATGCTGGTGTTATGGAGCCGCCGCGAGACACCGGAAGACCTCTGCTGAGTTTGCAAGAGGTGGAATCTCGGCTAGTATTCGCGAGATGCAAACCGTTTACCTTAGTGATGCCGGGAAGACAATGGTGAGCGCGTTTTTTATTCTCTTTTTACACTCTTTTTAAGAATTATAT